TATATATATATATATATATACACACATATACATATACACACACATGCACACACACAGTACACAGTGTTTTATAACAATATTTATACATATACACACACATGCACACACACAGTACACAGTGTTTGTAAACAATATTTAATACACACACTCAGGGTTCATGTGTATTGGCAGAAACATTGGATGTTTTATTTTCAGAGAATGTACCTTTCTCCAGTATCTGTGCTCCATACAGTAGGCTGCCTTGGAATGCATAGGTACAAGTCCTGGTCAGTACAAACACAGCATAGTGTAAGCAAAAACACTGAGGCTATTACAACAATTAAAGGCTTAGAACAGCAGTGGCAATGGTGTCCTGATGTGTTTGCAGTGGAAACATTTTTGGCACATCCCGAAAGACTCCCATTACCTGGCCATACCTAGAAACAGGCAATCAGTGTGCTAACATTCTGCACACTTTGCCAGGACGCTGCCCTCTATAAACACAAAGCTCTATTGGTCTATGGCATCTCACCATCCACAGGGAGTAATGCTTCCCCCAAGTTAACATAACGTGCCCCTAGACGTGTAGGCAGCGACAGATGCCAATATAAGAATAGGATATAATAGAACATATAGGCTGATCGCTGTTCTATAATCGCTGGCATCCCCAGCATCATCATGATCATCACATCTCCCCCACATCCACAGGGAGTAATGTCTCCCCGAGTTCACTTAATGTCCCCCTAGACGTTGAGGCAGATGCCAAGGAGTAAATAAGATATGATAGAACATATAGGCTGATCGCTGTTCTATAATCGCTGGCATCCCCAGCATCATCATGACCATCACATCTTCCCCACATCCACAGGGAGTAATGTCTCCCCAAGTTCACATAATGTCCCCCTAGACGTTGAGGGAGTGACAGATGCCAGGGAATGAATAAGATATGATAGAATATATTGGCTGATCGCTGTTCTATAATCGCTGGCATCCCCAGCATCATCATGACCATCACATCTCCCCCACATCCATAGGGAGTAATGTTTCCCCAAGTTCACGTAATGTCCCCCTAGACGTTGAGGGAGTGACAGATGTCAGGGAATGAATAAAATATGATAGAATATATAGGCTGATCGCTGTTCTATAATCGCTGGCATCCCCAGCATCATCATATCTCCCCCACATCCCCTCCTGCCCACCCATCAAGTTCTTACCTTGAGCTGCGAAAGTGCTGCCGGCTGTCAGTATGGCCAAGGCAGGTAAGAAGCACATTTGCAGGATGTATCCCAGCCTGAGCCCGCAGCTGGCCGTCTCCAGACCCTTCCTCATCCTACCAGGAGGGCACACAAAGCTGCCTCACTACAGCTGGGCAAAACTCCACTTTCTTCAGCACTGCGAGAGCCTGGCACTAGTTACACTTGGAAGTGCATTGATTTCCTCTAAGTCACAAGGATCTCATGCCCGAATGCCCATAGGAACTAGCCACCGCTGACTTTCCCTGGTGTCATAAATCCTTATTACAATTGAGAAAAAGAAAAAACAACAAAATAGGTGCTGTGTATCAAATGAACGGAAGCAATCCTCTAAGAGATAAAAACTGGGGAAGATCAGTGCAAAATCGCTTTAAATGTTACAAAGAAGTAAGTGTGATGTTGCAAAGCAGAAGCAGTTAGGATCCTGAAAGGCCAAGGAGTGTGTGAGCGCTGAGGGTGAAGCATGAGTAGACTGGAGCTGCCTGGGATCGTACTCATGTGGAGGGAGCACAGAGAGGATCGCTGCCTCTGCCTCTGCCTCTCTTCTCTGTTACAAGGAGACTGGGAGAAGCTCAGCTTCTGCTACCCTGCTCCCTCTTCTCACAGCCCTACCTCCCTGGCTGTACACAAGACAGCCAGCAAAAACAGACCTGGATTACATGGACTGGGGCTCCCCACTCGTTCAATGCACACATTTGTCCTTCACTGCTGCACTCAATTAAAAGCCCTTCTGTTGCCAAAACTGCACAAAGCAGAAGGGACATGCACGATTTACAAGCACTGTAACATATGCATCTCTATCAATCTTTCTCTGTACATTACAATGTGAGTTACTGGTGGTAATAATGATAATGTAGCCCAGACATCATTACAGAGACCACATTTAATAAGAAGAGCCTGTTACTATATCCTCACAACTGCACACATTCCTATTAGGGTTAGGCACACACAGTCATATTAGGGCTCGTGTACATGGGTGTTTTATGGCTCATGCACACAGTCCGAATACGGTTAGGCACATACGTGTATTAGGACTCATGCACACAGTCGTATTAGGGTTAGGCACACAGTTCGATTAGGGTCAGGCACACATGTGCATTATGACTCATGCACACAGCAGTATTAGGGTTAGGCACACACGTGTATTAGGACTCATACACACAGTCGTATTAGGGTTAGGAACACACATGTATTAGGACTCATACACACAGTTGTATCAGGGTTAGGCACACAGTCCGATTAGAGTTAGGCACACACGTATATTAGGACTCATGCACACAGCCGTATTAGGGTTCAGCACACAGTCCGATTAGGGTCAGGCACACATGTGTATTAGGACTCATGCACACAGCCGTATTAGGGTCAGGCACACACGTGTATTAGCACTCATACACACAGTCGTATTAGGGTTAGGCACACTCAGGATTACTATTGCGACAACGCCTCATCAGTAGGATAATACTAATCTGTTTCACAACTGTCTAATCCCAGCTAACGTTCCCTATTAGTGTGCCTAACCCTGGGTTTTGCACACACGTGTATTAGGACTTATTCACACAGTCATATTAGGGTTAGGCACACACGTGTATTAGGACTCATGCACACAGTCATATTAGGGTTAGGCACACACAATCATATTAGGGCTCATGTACATGGGTATTTTAGGGCTCATGCACACAGTCCTATTAATGCTTATGCACACCGCTGTTTTGGGGCTTATGCACGCAGTCCTATTAGGGCTCATGCACACAGTACTTTTAGGGCCCATGCACACAGTCCTATTAGGGCTCATGCACACAGAACTTTTAGGGCCCATGCACACAGTACTTTTAGGGCCCATGCACACAGTCCTATTAGGGCTCATGCACACAGATGTTTTAGGGCTCATGCACACAGTCATATTAGGGTGTTTTAGGGCTCATGCACACAGTCATATTAGGGTGTTTTAGGGCTCATGCACACAGTCATATTAGGGTGTTTTAGGGCTCATGCACACAGTCATATTAGGGTGTTTTAGGGCTCATGCACACAGTCATATTAGGGTGTTTTAGGGCTCATGCACACAGTCATATTAGGGTGTTTTAGGGCTCATGCACACAGTCATATTAGGGTGTTTTAGGGCTCATGCACACAGTCATATTAGGGTGTTTTAGGGCTCATGCACACAGTCATATTAGGGTGTTTTAGGGCTCATGCACACAATCCTATTAGGCCTCATTCACACAGCTAAGTCGGCCTGCACAGATCCGTGCGGCATGCACGACCGTATCGGGCCATTCCCAGGAAGGACAGGTGCTGCATGTGATTGTACGCAGCAGCCTGTTCTTCCCTATAGGAGGATGTGGCCGTACGGCACCGTACGCTCACCCGAGCTGCACATATGTGCGGGTGTCCATGCTCGGTCGCAGACAGGATCCATCCTGTCCGCGGCGGTCTAAGGTCTGTGAGTGATCAACTCCAATACACTGTATATAGGACATGAGGATGCCAAGGAGCATTCCATAGCTGCAGTGGAGGAGGGGATAGGCTGGGGGAGTGCTGTCATAGCCAGCCGGCTCTGAGGTTCGGGTGAGAATAACTTTGTTATTTTAGACCCTAGACCAAAATGAGCACTTAACCCTTGCAGTGGGGCTACCCTCGGGGTTCTGCTTCATGAGTCATGGACGCAGATGTATTAGGGCTCTTGGACACAGATGTATTAGGGCTCATGAACACGGGTGTATTAGGGCTCATGCGGATAGACATATTAAGGCTCATGCACACGGGTGTATTAGGGTTCATGCATTTAGACATATTAAGGCTCATGCACACAGGAGTATTAGGGCTCTTGCACATGGGTGTATTAGAGTTCATGAAGATGGGTGTAGTAGGGCTCACACATGCAAGCATATTTGCTCATGCCCAGGGGCATATCAGGGCTCATGTACACGGGCATATTAAACGGCTTCCATCTATGATCTATGCTAGATATTTGTGCCTGAGACTGTCAGACAAATCTAGTGCAAAAAAGTGCGATTTGGCACATAGTGCGCTTTATGCACATACAACGTTTAGAAGCATATACATGTAGTGTGTACAGTATGTATACATACACTTTCTATTATTTAAAATATGAATAGAATGAATCTAGCCACAGGAATTAGTTTATGTGCATACGCATATGTCAGTAAGCTCCTATCCGAGCGCAGATTTGGGGCTTTCTTTATGCTCTTGAGCACTGCTTTAACATGTGGATCTAAACGCCACAATGTGAATGGACACTGGCTGAAATAGAGCTGTGTTCAGAGGCATAAAAACAACAAATGCCTCAAAAAGCAACATTTGTTTTGCCCGTGTTCATAAGTCCTTAGGTGTATTTACAGAAGTGCTGACTGTTGCAGCAAGCAATTGAAAGTAGACTTTCAATGACAAATGGAATGTCTGCTTTTTTGCAAGCCTCCTGCTCCCCCAAAACAAATGGCTTTAAAAAGTCGTTTGTACACAAATTGACCACCTATTGAAAAAAATGACCTACCTCAGCCCTGGCCTCACATCACATCACATCACATCACATGCTTCCCTGCTGCCTCCTGGGATAGCTGGGTGCTTAAAGGAGAACTATGGTGTCAGGGCTTTTCCCTATAGTTCTCCTTAGGGTAACGGGAGGACACAAAGTAGCTCTAGGCTCAGTATACCGTGAGCTACATCTCGCGGTATACTGAGACGCCGCAGCCGGAGCGGATCCCGACATCGATGTCGAGATCCGCCCAGCTGCGTGAGTGACAGCTGGCTCTGCCTATCTAGAGGCAGAGCCAGCTGTACCCGCCCCCTCCTCGTCCGTTCCGCCAGTCAGCGCTGACGAATCGGAGCGGTGAGGGGGGAATCCAGCTCCTCCCCTGTCACGGCAGAGAGCCGTGACAGGATCGAGAGGTGAGCGAACGCCGGTATGTGTTCGCTCACCTCCCGATCTACTGAGCCGACCTGTGACAGTCTCATTGTCACAGGTCAGCTAGAACTATGAGGTGAGCGAAAAGCACTCACCTCATCATAGTTCTCCTTTCAAATTCCATAAGAATACACTCTTGCTATGGACTGGAGTGCATTGTCACGGGATTTCGAGCTCCTACGGTAGCTCTGCATGAAGGCACAGTGAGCTCACCTGTGCCTCCTGGAAGCCTCACAGGCCTGTGCCAATGTAAGTAAATTCCCAGGTTATGTGTTTGTTTTTAAATTACTTTTTAAAGCCATTTGTATTCGTGGGCCGGTGGCTGGCAACATAGTGGATCTTTCATTTGACCTAATCAGTCCCACAATTGTGGCAGAAAATCAACATTCCCTGGAATGTTGAATCATGAGACTTCAGTAATGCCCGCAGTGAACCCCTCCCCCTCCCCTCCCCTACAATATTGAAGGCAAATGCATTTGCAAACCTAGTTATTACCTTGTAAAAGTAGGAGTGGCATCATCAATGTGTTATTTTTAGCCTGTGCAGAAAAACAGAGCTGTGAGAGGGGCCCAGCAAACCCAACCCACTACAGGGTGCCTGCAGAAAACTACAGAAGGAGGTGGATGCAAGTCCAGTCACTCTGTAGAAGGAGAGAGAGAGGCAGAGATTGGACTTTTACAGGAAGCTCCTGCACACAGGAAACATTTCACACTGCAATACTGCACAGACCTGGAAGAAATACACAAAGAACACATAGGAGGTTATTCACAAAGCTGCCAAAGGCAGCCAAGTGAATAACCCAGCCGAAGTGAAGTGAGCCAAATGCAGTTCGGCTATTCACTCCGGCTCAGTACGGCTCATTTCAGCTGTACATCGGCTGAAATCAGCAGTACATTGGCTGCCTTCGGTCAGTCGAACATGCTCGGAATGCCCGGCTGAGCCAAAGTGCAGAGGGACTTCGAATCAGCCGATTCAACATCTGGATCGGCTGAGCCGAAGCTCTGGCAGCTCACTCGCTGCCGTTCGCCCCTATTCACAATAGGGGCGAACTGTAGTGAGTGAATAGCTGAATGCTGCCGAGTGGCATTCGGCTCGGCTATTCTGCTGGGTGCCTCTGAGGTACCGAGCAGAAAAGAAAATAAGTCAAATGAATAAAAAAAAAAGTTGAAAATGTATTCTAAAAATGTAAATAAATAGGAGACTTAAAAAA